GGTTGATGAGAAGAAAGCTGCCCATGCAGAGAGAAAATGGAACCAATTAGAAGGAGAAAGAACCATCAAATAACACAACAAGGATACCACACAGAGATGCTCAGCCTGCCGGCCGCTCAATACGGGGCCTTTGAGAAGTATGTTTCGTAGTATGTTCCCGTCAGGGGTTAGGATGAACAACCGGAGCCTTCAACATGCCGAAAGGCATTTCCATCAACCGCCTGCCCCCGAAGCCTTGAGGGGAAAGAGAGTCCAGCTCCCGTACGGCAAGTGGGTGTGACGAGACAATCTCCGGGTGGCGATAGAAGACCTCTGAGCCGTCTGTCTGAGGTGAGGGGGGGTGCTTCTCAACAGCGGAACGCAGCAGAATATGATAGCGTGCGGGCAACTAATGCTCCCAAACCCACGGCTGATTTCCAAGCACACCTGCACACCTCGCTCTAAATCCCGGGCGTGATGCTCAAATTGCCTTGAATGGCACGCAGCAGGAAAGAAAGGAATACACGCGGAAGAGTGCATATGCCTGGGAAACGATGGCTTCATTCCTGTGCCTGTTTGTATGGAGATGACAGACATTCAGAGGGCCGGCTTATGGGAGACAATGAGTTGGGGGGGTCATAGCTGGGCATGGTGCTGATTGATCTGACCTCGCTGGACAGGTGTGGAGTGTATGGGGCGGGGGGGGGGGGTCCTGGGATTTGGAAGCCCAACAATGTAGGGATATCAGCCTGCATCCGCTATCTTTGTTCTCTGGGCGGTGGGTGTATTTAACCACAGGGTCTGTTTTTTGAGGGTACAAGAGATAGTGGGGATGTATTTAATTGTGACGCCAAGTTTGTGCTCATTTTCTGAGGTGGGGGGACATATATAACCGTGACACCCATGTGAGCTTTGTCTTCTGATCTGCATGTGAGCAAGAGAAGGCTGGGGAATGCTTAAGTATTTAAGCATATTCTGATGGTAGAGTGCATTCCAGACAAACATCATATTCGCGTGAATCAGTCAATGTTTGGCTTCTGCCACAAATTAATCATGTCCAGCTCTGCAACCACGGTCGGGCAAAACAAGAATAATTGGGAGCAGAACCAGTACAGTTGTGGATATGAACCTGAATTCAAACAGAACACTTTGAGAGTAGTCAAGGACACAGTATACCAAGAAATCAAAAGTTAAATTTGTGCATGTAAGGTGGAGCAAAAAGGCATATTATATGCCACTGAATTAGAGTAACAGGGGAACAAAAAGCTGAGTCCTGCATGAATGAGCATGTCCATTTTCCATTTTGGATCATATTCTTCACCAGCTCAATTAGGGGTTAGCCAACCATCGGCAAAACGCTCACACAACTTACCAAAAGGACTTACCAAAGGACCTCCAGAAGGACAGTGTCACCCCCAGGGAGTCATGGCGACGCAATTATCATTTACATTTCTCCATGAAGTGGACACGGGTACATGAATTTACAAACCAACTGGAACATCTGAGGTCACATGTCTGGGACACCGGAGATAATTCATTTGTTACCCCCATCCAACACAGGGCAGTGGGAGGTATATGTCCTGCTTAAGGGATTCACTTTTGTTTGATTCACTTTTGTTTGATTCACTTTTGTTTGATTCTGAAAACTCCAAGTCTGTGGAGAGTTGGTAACAACACCTCAGTGTCAACAAAACCCATCCATTTCAATCCAGCCAAAACAGCTGGACAGGGACTGTGACTGTGCTCTCTTCAGCTCGTCTGTGAGGAACATTCCAGATGCTGACCAGCCGCCTAAGGTACCCATTTGGATTCTTCATACAGGAGGATGTTTTTCATCCTTTCCCCCATAGTAGATGGCACATAGCTTAATGGCGAAGATCCCAGCAGGGGGGACCAATAGGGTGCCTCTGTTCTCCGTAAGCCCCACTTTCTGTACAGGAATTCTAGACATTCTGGAACTGCATATATATTTAATCAAATAAGGTAGTAATTCTTAAGGAGGTTAATTCAGTACGGAGTGTTTTGCTGATTTGTTTAGTATTGTATACTTCCGGTGTGTGTAATGAGGAATGCTGAACTGGTAAATATTGTGAAGTATGGTAAACAGGCACTTAGCTGAGAGTATTCCTCTATGTGTGTGTGTGTGTGTTTGTGTGTGTGTGTGTTTGTGTGTGTTTGTACCAGTG